GCTTCATTCCCATGGGAAAGTTAATGACTAGCTTGGATGAATTTGTAACGGCTATTGTCGCATACTTAGAAAGCCAGAAAAATCTTGAGAGTTAGGGGAAATTTCCTACTTTTTGCATGTTATTAATCTATGTTGTTTGCTGCAGCATTTATTTAAATAAAAATTATTTAGTGCATTATTACCATTAGTATAAAAAAATTAGGGTTAAGTGTCATCGACAATTGACAGCAATAAAAAAGAAGATTAGGTAAGTACTTTATTTCTTGTTTATTCTTTATTTATTATTATAAAAGTAATTAAAATGTAAAAATGGGGATCTTTTTAGGTTAATTAAGATTAAATTAGGTAAAATAAGTAATAATAATATTATAATAAAAATGTTTCACGATGCATGCGAGCTCATAGTAATGGTAACGTAATTCAATAGCGTAATGTCAGCTGCACATTTCCCCGAGTGATTTACAACTTATAATGGCACGAATAGTAATTAGACATGCTTCAAAGGGAAATAAAACAATAAAATTTAAATATAAGTAGATGTATACTGTTATGAGCTTAAATCTACTTAGGATAAACGAATGTAGTTTCATGTTACAATATGAAGTCATTCTAGAAATAAATAAAAGTAATTTAGATCTTTGTCGATTTTTTTGGTGGTTATGAGGTTGGTTAAACTGACCGATCCTGTATAGAGATAGGGAAGAGAAAATAACAAAATATTAAGTTTTACTGAAAAAAAAACGTTTGAAATGTATTTAGGAAGTTTTAGGGATTACACAAAGAAAATTTAAGATTCTTGAGAAGAAGGAAAGTATTTTTAATCTTAAAATTAAAACTATTTTGCACACAGACTATTCAAAACAAATACTCAATATATTCATGGACAAATCTGCACTAAAAATATAATTTTTTGTATGTGAAAGACTTATAATGTTAACTGAAAGACTGCCAACTTACAAGTATTAAATATATAAAAACTTTAAATGTATATAAAGAGGTCACATGGTCGGTCAAATTGACCGAGCCTGTGTTCAGAGAGTTAACTTCCTTGTGTATTTCTTACAAACACTGCAAGCTAATATATTTCAAACAATTATTAAAATGAGAAATGATAGTAACTAATATAAACACTTACATCCTCCGATCTTCTTACGAAGTTCAGCATAATTAATAAGACCATAGAGTTCTTGAGTCTGTTTCTTCACATCTATCAAAACATAAAAACCAGAATAAGTAACTGAAAATTTGCAACAGTTTTTCCAAAAAGTTATAATTACAAAACAACATACAAATTAGGTTCATGGATATAATTAGGGGATACAGCAGTTCCATACTTTATTTTAGAAACATTTCTTAATTTACTACTAGGTGAGCTATATTATTTCTAATACTACTAGGACAAATTACAGGTCAAGACTGTATTACACATACTAAACCCTAATATAATAAACTGATCACTCATATAAAATGGTTGTATTATATATTTCTTGCTTTTGAAGTTCCTACGTCATGCTGTGTTGTAGCCTACAGAATACATAATTCTTTTTGTGATTCATGCGCATGTTTTACTGCCGACACGAAAGTAGAAATTGCAACATTAAGCATCCCTTATGTGACGTCATTTTAGTGTCTACTGACTGACAACACACTACTGTTGTGTGCAAGTGGCTAAAACAGGTAACTCCTCCATACAGCCCTTGACCACCTTTAGAATAAATCAAACCCCAAGAAAATAGATCAGCCATCAGATAAAACGTCTGTATTATACAATAAAACTGATATATCAGTCATTGATACAGGTTTTAAATGTTTCAGGGTTCTAGATATTACATTTTATATTCAATTTGTACTCACCGGCTAGATAAAAAGTAGATACACTTAATTTGTAGAACTACATGCTGAAATATGAAAATAAGTTTTCATAATGGAAGATTAAAAGTGAAAACAAACTTCATATGAGAATCCAAATTTCTTAGATATTTTTCAACGATGCAGAAGAGAGCTTTTAACATACATTCTGAGAAAAGAATTGTTCTTATGAAAGTTTGAAATTATTATGTATTTTTAATGTACATTTTTGTTCCTACAATAAACAAAACTAGAATGTTTATGTCAGTGTTCATATTACTCCACAAAAGGATATCAACTGGTGTTAGTAAAAACACAAGACCATCAAATTATTAATTACAGTAATTTGTCTTTTCAAAACATCTCCCATGTAACCTACAAGTGGTTGAGAGGAACAACCCTAGGTAGTAACAAACAAGGGGTTGAGAGGAACAACACTAGGTTGTAACATACAAGGGGTTGAGAGGAACAACCCAAGGTCATAATGTATATGGGGTTGAGAGGAACAACACTAGGTTGTTACATACAAGAGGTTGAGAGGAATAACACTAGGTCATAACGTACAAGGGGTTGAGAGGAACAACCCTAGGTCATAACATACAAGGTGTTGAGAGGATCAACCCAAGGTCATAACGTACAAGGGGTTGAGAGGAACAACACTAGGTTGTTACATACAAGAGGTTGAGAGGAACAACACTAGGTAGTAACAAACAAGGGGTTGAGAGGAACAATGCTAGGTAGTAACATACAAGGGGTTGAGAGGAACAATGCTAGGTAGTAACAAACAAGGGGTTGAGAGGAACAATGCTAGGTAGTAACAAACAAGGGGTTGAGAGGAACAATGCTAAATTGTTGAATTTATGACATTATTTGATGTAATTTTGCAGTATGATTTGTCATTTTAATTAATTGAACAAATTTTTAGTTTTCCATACCTATACAGCATTTGGTTATAGGACAAAGTTCCAGTCGAACAGTTCAAGCTAGAGTGTATTTCACCCACCAACTCTTGTTCAGCAGACTCTTTACTTCACCATATTTTCTAACCCACACCCACAGCAAATAATTATTACATTCCTGTTAGCAACTGACCAAATGTATAATCTGATAACTTTTTTTTTGCCACTGAAAATGTTTACTGGAACACATTACTATAAATTTAAGAACAATTATAATTACTTAAAGCTTTTTATGTATTTAGCAGTTTTTTCTGTGCTCAGACCATTTCAACATAAATACTACTCACCAACTATCAACAAAATTGTTAAAGACCAGTATATAATTTCCTTATTTGAGAACCATCTCACCAGAAAATGATGGAAATTCATTCTTCCAAGGATATTATGAAGAAAATCTGATAGTATGAACATTGTATTTTGGTTAAAACAGATTTAAAATATCCCCGATTAAAATCTCTGATCCTACTTTCACGTAGAAAGATCTACACAGATAACTTGCATCCAAGAAAACAAAAGTTGTACAAAAGCCTGATGAGATACGCACATCTGGTACAACAACAATTTCATTAATTATGTACATCCTTTACAAATACTGAGTCTAGATAAATTGCTCACCATCACCAATATCCAGGTATTTGGATATTTTATGCCATGTTCTATAATAGAAGTGGCGAACTTGATCTTTGTTCTTTATCATGTTAGGAGGAACTCCTTTCTTCTTACTTCGCTGGGCAATGTACAATTGGATGTTTTCAAAATCTTTCCCATACTTTAAATATAGATAAACATCAATTATTAAATAATAAACTTATTTATCACTGAAATAAAAATAGTTAATACTTTTTCACTGATGCCACTAAAGACAGAATCAGGCACTAAAAGTATATACTCTTCTGGGCTGTATTTACACTTTTCCTGCAAACTATGAAGCTATAACCTTAGAGATTATGCTACACATGAGTAAGTTAACAAGTCTTAGTTACACATGCACTTGTCAGGATGGTACAGATGGTTAAATCAGTAGTGTGGTTAAATCAGTAGTGTCTGTACCATCCTGACAAGTGTATGTGTAACTAATACTCTGTACCATCCTGACAAGTGCATGTGTAACTAATACAGGATGGTTCAGACACTACTGATTTAACCAGTATTAGTTACACATGCACTTGTCAGAATGGTACACACACTACTGATTTAACCAGTATTAGTTACACATACACTTGTCAGGATGGTACAGACACTACTGATTTAACCAGTATTAGTTGCACATGCACTTGTCAGGATGGTACAGACACTACTGATTTAACCAGTATTAGTTACACATACACTTGTCAGGATGGTACAGACACTACTGATTTAACCAGTATTAGTTACACATGCACTTGTCAGGATGGTTCAGACACTTGTACACATCTGGATCTATTGATGTCAAAAGTTACTTAAGTTATAACACTTGTACACATCTGCATGTCCAGTAAATTTAGCATTCATGATCTAAGTTTACAATAAGTCACAAGTTTCATGTTATTCAACTTGACAATGTTATAAGTAACTACTACCCCATTATAATATTGCAAATAAACAAACTATACATTAAGTTTTGAGAACCTTGTTAAAACTTACTTCACAGAGAGCTTCAAAAAATGCATTTTTATCTTCCACACTCCAAAGTTCCCATGTTCTTCTTGGTTTTCCTTGGTCATTTGTACTAATTGTTTTAGAAGCTATAAAAGAATAAAGCAAATTGTTGTTGTAAATCAAGGACAATTTACAGTCTAACGTAATAATACGTTGTTTTTTTCATTACATGCTAAAAAAAGTTATTTGTACCTAACCAAAACAATAAGACAAAATTAATTAAATCTAAAGAGAATAGATTCTATAATATTTAAGGTAGGCGATACCAATAACTACCATACTTGAATTGATAAAATATGTTGAATTAAGTAATTCAAATAAACATTTAAACCTTGTGATGCACATTTTTCCAAGCATGATAAGGACAGATGCTCTGGATACAGTAAATTAAACTACTACATAATGTTTTTGGAAGGGACATCAGGAAATTACTTTTTCTTTTTGTCTTTAGCAATATTCTGGACCTAAAGTTGTGAAAAATTTAAATGTGTTTAAGATCAAATAGAGAAAAGTCCTGGAGGACATTTACTACTGTTGATCAAAATAAAGTTGAAATGGACTTGAATATCAAGTCCATAAAATCCTGATTCTACAATACAGTGGGGTAAACTGCACTGAATACAACCAAACAGGTAAATGCCCCGAAGAACTTACACTAGTGTAAAAGACAAAACGTATTAAAGAAGATCAAACAGACAAAAGCCTTGAAGAATTTAATCTAGCAACAGGGGAATAAAGATGAAGTTTGTTGAAGACGAAATAAGTAAAAGTCCTTAAGTGCTCAAGTTTTGGGGCATTTCTTGGACTGTAGTTACCCAAAGTTCAACTTGCTTCACATTGATATTAAGTGTTAGCACCAGGTGCACAGCCAACTGACAGCACTCACTATAATAACACTTTATGTAAGTTGTTCAGCCTTATGTTTATTAAATTCAGTCATTATCATATAACCACTTAAAAATATATAGTGTGACAAGCATGCATTTCAATAACATATAACATACAAACATAACATGATCCTGTAATTTATATGATGACAATGGTTGGTCTTACAGATACCAACACTACAATTGTTAAAAATAACACATCAACAGTGGTGAAACATTATTTTTAGTTGATATATTTTTTTCTTTCCCATTTTTTTGAAGTTTTAAAATGTTTAGTCTTACAGATGTATATCTTAACAGTTTACTCTTCCACTGTAAAGTCATCAGTGATTCAGAAAACTGTTACAATGAAAGGGCAACATTTAAACATTAAATGTTTTTCTCTGATAAACCCTACAGGTAGACTAACATTAATAACTAAAAAATGCACTACTCCTGACAGGATTTACTATACAATCATCATTTCGCTGAAAGCTTCTATTTTAAACAAAATGTAAAATAGAACTGCCTTAAAATCTTCCATATCAATACTAAAATACAGGACAGCTCATTAACCTATGTGTTTCATCTATACTAAACGATGTTTATTCATATATATGTAAAAAATAAAAGGTTGCAAACTCAAAACCTGTGTTACTATTAAAATGATAGTTCACGTAGTAAAATTACTTATTCAGCTCATACTCGACAAACTGTTAAGTAGATTAAATATAGTTGACTAGGTCCCGGTATTCGTGCTCCAAGCTTACTAGGTCCCGGTATTCGTGCAATACACTTACTAGGTCCCGGTATTCGTGCCCTAAACCTACTAGGTCCCAGTATTCGTGCCATACACTTACTAGGTCCCGGTATTCGTGCCCTAAACTTACTGGGTCCCGATATTCGTGCTCTAAACTTACTAGGTCCTGGTATTCGTGCCCTAAACTTACTAGGTCCCTGTATTCATGCCCTAAACTTACTAGGTCCTTGTATTCGTGCTCTAAACCTATTGAATCAGTGTTTATTAATTGAATTAATTCTTGCTTCTACACACTACTTTTTACCTACAGCATTTGTTATTTAGGCCTAACAATATTGTCTGTAAATATGATAAAACTTTACTCGTACACCAAACAGCATTCCAAAACACCTATCAACATCTTTAAGAAACTGTTTACTTTGCACTGATTAGGAATATAGTACTATGATAATTAACTTTGATAAAATACATTTAGATACCACAAATAAAAATTAACCCATTAATTGTATATGGACTAATTATGTCAATAAAGCAATACTAATGGATTTTTATGAGTTGGGTACAAGAAGTTTATACTGACAGCAAAACTAATATTTCATATACGTAAATACATAGGCTCCTTCATGTTCAAATATATCAAATCATGTTAGTGCATGAATTAAAACACTATATTTAAAACAGGGATCTAACATGACTTGGTAGGCTTCAGACCATCTTCTTAATTACAACCTAAACTTTATTAAATTAAAAACATTTTAAAAATAATTGTACAGAAAATTGCAGAATTAATGAGATAAAGAAACAGTTAAATTTTCAGTGTCTTCTTATTGTTATTAAAAAGATTATCACACATTAAAAAAATTCTTAGCAAAAAGACAATCACAATTTATATGATGTGCCAGTAGTAATGATATATTCTTATTACACTTATAAAGCAATATACTCTCTTGCCCATACAAATTTACACTGTTAAGTCTTTCATCATGTTGTTCGAAAATTATCTTTGTGATATTATCACAATACCAAAACTACATTATTACTAGTATTGTCAGGTAATGCAATAGGCCTTCTGCTGTCATTTAGAATAGATTATATTTATTAACAAGCTTGAAATACTTTACATTCAAGTGTCTAAAACACCTCACTTACATTTCTATAACTTTTGACTTTGAATACTGAAGTCTAGTTTATTTTTGTTTATTTAAATCACTTACCCGAATTTGCTGAAGAGCCATTGCTCTTTTTTGAGGGATGTTGGGATGGAAGTGGAGAACTTAGCTCCTTTCTTGGGCGCTTGGCCAATCGAGCACTACTTCTTTGTCCAACAATTCCAGCCTTTGAATTGGTCACTACTTGTTTTTCTATTACCTGTACTTTCTCTTCTCCCTTAACATCTGTATTTTCTATAGGAAAGTTTTGATTTGTTGTTTCCAATACAACTGATTTGGCTTGCTGTTGCGCCCTACTACGTGTCAAACTTCCTTGAACCCAAGCTTCACGTACGTCCGAGTAAGCGTTAGATATCGTGGGGTCATCGATACAACCGGTAACACTACCGCTCGTAGTTGAATCCCCCCGATACATTTCCAAAGACCTGTGTATGAAATACGAAAAAATGAGGATACGTTAATAATAAAATAAAATATTTATGTTTATAATGTATATGACTAACGAACCAACATTTTCTGAAATAACAAAATGGCCGACCGCAAACGCTTCTAAAAAGCTGTTTCGGTGTTAATATTTTGTCACCACTTTAGTCTGTTGTACATTGTTTATAAACACGTTTTCAAGCTACAAACAACACATAACAGCTAGAATAAGTTATGATGAATGAGTTATTACAACTTTTCATTCAGTTTATTTCGATTCTCTTCCTGTATAATAAAATTTGAAATATTAGAAGATGGCGGTAATGTAAGCTTTTCGACAACGTCTCTTTTCATGCACCAAGAATGTTAGGCTTAACTTTAGAGAACGGTTTCTAATTTACCTGTCATCTTGAGTCTTTTCTTCTTGAGCAGAACAAGAACTAGTCCTTTTTCTTTTAACCATTTGATAAAAATATCTTATTACGAGTATTCATTAGTTTTTCCAGTGGGTAATATTATCCTTGAGAAAAACCGACAAACCTTCCACCATCGTGAACAAATACCTTCTGAACCTACATGTCCCGCTGGTTTATTGCTGTACGCCTCGCTTGTATTTTTAACATTACTATGAAAGTTGTACTTCATATAAAAACTCAAAAAGGCAATTATAAATGAATGATTCTTGTAAAGATCACAAAGGATATAATTTTAACATTGTTTGAAAGAGTAATATTTTACAAAGTGTTACAGGAAAAAGAAAATATCAAAACTCTTATGTTGTTCGCATATTTAAATGCACCCATCTTACACACAATCCTCTACTAACCTATAATTTGTATGGATGCTTTTTATTTTGAAACGGAATTAGTTTTCTATTCATGATTCAAGTAATATGTTATTCAGATAGTGATAGTTAAAAATGGTACAATTCACGTTTCTTGACTTTCAAATTGTTATTATTCACTAAATTTAAATATATTAATTTAAATTGAAACTTCTTAATGATTTTGAAGGATTAAATTGTTCAAGCTCTCGACTTCATTTGCGAGTCACATTTACAGAATCCATTTATTTTCACAAACTATACAAGAACTGACACTTATGATTTAAGATACACAGTTTATTCTTACAAGCTACATAAAACTTTTACCTCATGTCTAAATAAATATTAGCTGTTAAATGTTGTAATTAGAATGTAGTCTTGTTACTGGTTCATATACTGAGCATCTAGTGCATTATTTACTTTTATTAAGTTTTAAAATTTGAGCTTAGACTAGAATTCATCGTGGAAAGAACACTAATTTTCTAGCGTCCAACACTTAAAATGATATATTCATATATCATTATCAGACTTATATTAACTTCTGTCTTTGATATTTCCCTTTCTTGCTATGTAACAATGAATTAACATATTAATAGCCCTGCTATTACTAATGGTTTATAAAAAATAAAACTGATTTATAAATGTCATGCTTTTTATGCTACAAAAGGCAAAAAATTGATATAAACCAGAATCACATACACATTTAGATTATGCCCTGCCACTGAAGAAAATATGTTATTAAAAATAATCGAAATTTAAAAACAAAACTGCATTCAAACATTAACCCAAAGTCAAAGATGCAGACTTTCTCCATAAACTAATATTGATAAAGCTTGTTTTATGTAGATTGGACTTCGAACAAAATTTCTAAAATTTTGTAGGACATATACTTTGAGTTTAATGTAAAGCAAAAATCACTTTCCAACGATACAGTTTTATAATACTACTACTAGGTTAAAGTATCGTCCAATCTGTATTGGTTATATCAGAACAAACATACAACACATTAACAGCTATAAAAAAGTAGTATTATCATTACCTTGCACTGTAGACTGTAGTGTAGGCTAATCGTAATTACACGACAAATTGGAAATTGTTAACTTACTGTAATATTAATAGTAAATATTATCACACTCATAGTTGATGGTCTATTTACTGACATTTATAAAACGATTTTCACTCAAACTGCAATAGATAAGAAAATTAGTTTATAGTTATTAAGTGCAACAAACTTTACAATTACATAAAATTACGTATACTAAGTTCGACTCCGAGCCCTTATTTACCGCTCGTCTTGATAATACTAATAGAGCACATGCAATGCTTGAACATATACACGGATTCAAACCATTAACGCGTTTCTTCACGACTTAAAAAGAAAAAGAGAGAGTTAAATTTAATGAAATTACCTCTGTACACACACAATGAATTCACTGAAGTTACAAAACAGCTATAAATAACGAATTATACTACATTGCTTTGCCTCCCCACCATCGTAAATCACACAATGCCGAATGTTTACATGTAACATGCCCAGTGTCAGCTGAACCACTGGCGCGCGATTTTGACAGCTTTGGCTTGGGATTGGCTACTGAAAATATACGTCGCAAATCACAAACGCCTGCTTCCTGCAGCGTAACCCTTATAAATAGATAGTTGCGAATAAAACTTTTTTGAATTAAGATTAACAGTTTAAATCTATGGAATATTCTGAAAGATTATGTAATTTTGCAAATAGTATTAAAATACCTTACATGTATTTTCATTTTGTAATGGTTTTTAGTTTATTAAATTTCTTAAATTATGCTTAGGCCTATTTTAATATCAAAAAATTCTGTGACGTTAGAGGTAATTCAGCATTCTTCCCTCTAGAGTCTAGACCTGCAATGATTTTTATACTAATTAAAAAATAAATATATATAAAGAAAATGTTTAATTGATAATCCCTGTATTTGATGTAGTGTGTATAACTGAAAATGTTCAAATTTTATTTTATCTATAGGATAAAAAATTAAATCGGCTATAAGGATGTGTATATATATATACATAATTCAGTTTAAGTAATATCTACAAATTGCAGATTATCACTTAAGTATTAGTTGGAAGACGAAAATATGTTAGTAGAAATCAACAGTTTAAAAAACACCTCTTTATAAAATAAAATATCATTATTTACTTAAGACGTTTTTTTTTTATTAAAATAAATTCCAAGCTAATATTAATGATCTTTTTTGAATTAGCTGAAGAACCAATCTTTTGGTTATGAAACAAAATGCGATCCTTCCCTGTAATACCTTGCTCAATTCTTACTAAAACTACTGGTATGTTTTGAACAGGAAAGTAATTACCTAGCTCTGAGAACATCTTGGTTGTTTTTGGTTTCCTAAGTGCTGAAATCTCTGTTTAGAAATGGTGGATGCACTCGTATAGAGCATTTTCTGGATAGATGAAATGAGTAAAGAACCAGGAAACGTTTTACAATGGAAACATGAAAATTTATTATCAATGTTATTTGTATGAAATATATATTTTTTCGCATCAATGTTCAAGACGAGCTGCTAGAAATAAGAGTTTAAAATGATTGCAAAATTTTGCTTCGTCAACCTAGGGAATGGAAGTGCCACATATTAAGAGAAGTTTGCCATAAAGCTTCGTACCTCCCCATCTTTTCTCATTTGGGGCTTTTCCTTACTAACTAAATTCTTATTAGATCAATTAATAGAACATCATTATCAAAAACGTGTTCTATTCTTTTTGGAATTATAAATGAAATAACACTTATTTTTGGGAAGCAGGTAACGAATCCTGTTACTTTTTGTAATTCTTGACATATTTAATTGAATGGTGCGTGAAGAAGTACCGATAACTTGAAAAAAAAAAAAATATTCTTCGTACAGTTTAAGGTCAGGTCCTGTGCGCTGATAGGAGAATTTCACTACTGTCAACCCCACGTTGTTTGTGTATCAAAATGCGCTTTCTTTCCTCTACGTATTCCCCATATAATCAATATAACGTAGGCAGTGTTGAATTCAGGGGGTGTACAAATGTAGAATTTCTCCCTGTGCAAGAAATCCATTTTGTCGAATATGAACTCATCACCCACCCACCCCCAGACAGAAAGGTCTACATTCAACAGTGAACATAGACGCCCCCCCCCCCATTCTTTTTAATATTTATTGTGTTGTTTGTGGCTTATGATGTGGACATGGCTAAATAACTAAAACTTTTTAAAGTGTAGGAAACTATTTGTACGATACAAAACGCGAGTTAGACTAAAGTTGAAGGATTGTTTTTCAGTCTGTTGCAGTGGATGAGTGTTTATTGAGTTAGCAAGTTTATTTGTCTGTCATTTCGTTTGTTCAATTTTGTTAATTTTGAGTGTGTTTCGGCGAGGAGATAGAGATACGAGAAGTACCAAATATATGAGAAAATCAGCAATTAAGTGAAACTATTATGTTAGCGTATACTATGAACTGAGGTCTATCAGTGAGTGTTAGTTAAACTGAATGATGAAGTTGCAGTGGAATAAATCAAATGGACTTGGCTTTATATTAGGTTTACCAAGTAATATAAAAAGAGCTGGCCCGACAATAGAGACGCTATAAAACTGATGTCAAGAGTGAAATTATTTTGGTAAAAATATAATCCAGACACAACTTAAAGATAAAAACGTGCTGAAGCAAGGTTGAAAGTTTAATGGAAAGGACGAAACAGTGCAAGGAAGATGAAGAATAAAGTTAAAAGAAAGTCAAGAAGAAAGAGCCAGAAAATTATGATCTAGAAGAGAGTTGCAGAAAGCTGTGTTGTAACATTCTAACATTGGGTGGGTTCTTTTTTTTTTGATTATTTGGTAAAGATAATGGTAAGTCCAGTCCATCTAATGGTCACAAATTTATTTCTACAATAATGTTTGCTACAGGCTATGTTTACTTTGACATAAGTTGTAGGACAAGTTCACAAACAAAATGTTCAACTTTAACTCTGAGGGCCTAATACACTAATAACGTTTAACACAAATTTACTTAATTGATAACAAATCTCACTCAATCACTGATGAACTTAAACTCAGTCAGTCTTCTCTTGATCAACAAGTACTCAATCTTTCACACACTGAATATTTCAGTTAATTCTCATTCACTGCTCAATAAATACTTCACTGATGAACTAGAATTCTGACACCAACTCCTTACTTGTATTTGTAACTAATGTACCAATTTCCAAATATTAGTAGAAATTTCTCTATCTTGATGTCATGCATCCTCTAACTTGTTTGTTTGTAATTAAGCACAAAGCTACACAATTGGCTATCTGTGCTCTGCCCACCACGGGTATCGAAACCCGGATTCTAGCGTTGTAAGTTCGCAGACATACCGCTGTGCCACTGGGGGGCATCCTCTAGCTAACATCTAAATCTAAATCATTGAAAACATAGCTTACAACAGTTAAAAGAAGATCGCGAAAAGGAAGATGGAAAGTTAGAGGAGGAATTGCAAGAATTAGACATGAGATTTACATAAGAATTAATACAAAAATAAGTTTGATCAAAGAAGTTATGGAACATTTACACACCGAGGTTGAAAAATTCAATAGATGCACGGAAGAATTATAATAACAAAACTGAAGTAAAAAGGAACGTCAATGAATTGCAAGAAGGATTATAGTAACACATCAATGGCGTAAAAAAGAACACCAATGCCAAGAAAATCATATTGAAACATGACTGAAAAATGTAGAGATCAAACCAGCCATA